TCTCCTCTAAAATTGGTATCCGAATACCAAACTTCCTAAATAATAGAAATTCTATTACAAATTACTTTCTTCAGCTCTGGAGTGGCCCCACCGATCTCCAAATTTGTAGCCAGCCACTTCACTCCCTTTTTTAAGCTCCCCACGTGCGAAGAATCACAAGAATCCGGCTTTAAAGGTTGGAGTTAGGCGTGAGCACGCCTAACTATTAGGAAGTCTCCTAGAATGTTGATTTTCAGCACTTTTTCTCCACCGCTTCCTGCAACTAACACCAACACAAAATCTGAGTGGAATCTACCCCACTAATGCAATATTTAGTCAAACAATAATGCAATTTTATCAAAATATCCCACTAAAATGCACCCTATCAGTTCCATAACTAGCTCCCAAGATGGTTTAAAATCTTTAACTAATATTTTACTTTCTAGTTTCCAAGATAATGATGCATTAGCTAAGCTTTTTATTATTAATTTCCAAGAAGGTTTTGATTCAAGTTGGACATACTCGGGTTGATAATTATAAAAATACGGAGAATTCTTATGTGCACATTGATTGCCCTAATCATACACATAAAAATTACCTCAACTAGGGTTGTATTGATCAAAACGAGAATTGTAATATCCAAATTCATTATAATAATCCACATTTTGTGTTTGTGTACATTCATAAGTTGCATGATAACCTCTACACAAGTGACAAATTATATGATTAGAATTAAAAATATTAACATTTCTCTTTTGTTCAAGTATATTTGTAATGGTGTCCAATTGAACTTTTAAAGTTATATAACCAGTTTTAGCCTTTAAACATCTTAAGTTATTTTCAAATGGCATACTTTTGAACATCCTTTGGTTACCTCTATAGTTGTAGTTTTGAAAAGTGTAGTTCATTGCCGAACTTTCTTTTCTCAAGTTTTGATCCTCTTTTGTTTACTATCCTCCTTAGAACCTAAAAATGTTTTCAAATAATCTCAAAAGCAAAATTACTCAAGAAGAACAGGTTAAAAGACATAAATAAAAATAAGGCATTAAATACAAAATAAAATACTCAATAAAATACTAAACATAACTAACAAGACACTTGACACAACAAAAACAAGAAAAGTAAGTAAAAATGTATAAACTAATAAAATTGTTCTTAGCACTGATATTGAACAAAATCTTCCCCGACAACGGTGCCAAAAACTTGACGAGCGTGGAGTATGTATATAACAATTAAACTCATTCTACAATTAAGTTTTACATTTATAAAATTCTAAATACCCAATACATGATTTTTTGCAAGTATACAGGTTGAGATTGAGTAGAGACTATTAATGGTCGAACCCACATGGAAGATTGTCAATTACTGATAGTTTTCAAACTTTTTATTATTTAGAATACTCCAAATGCAAGAAATTAAATCTACACTATAAAAGTAATGCAAATAACAATAAAAAACATCTAGAGGTTTGGAATTCCTCACTACTCTTGCAAATTAAATTACACATTAAGTGAATGCTATTATTTTGACTAGTTATGGCATAATTTCCTAATGTATATGAAACCTACTCTCATAGTGAATCAACTATACTTATAGCTTAGCCATACCTACTCTTATGATTATGAAATTAGCTACAAACTCATTTCTTCTATGAAATTACATGAAATAAATTACCAAAACTACATAGGTGCACCTCTATTCCCGTGAGTATACCCTCTAGATTTAGCACTTCCTTGAACTAGTGTTAAATTCTAATTCTTATTGCAAATTTAACACTTTAAAATTATCACAATTAATGCCTGATTAATCATGATTAGAAAAGCAAATGTGATAAATAACTTGTTCAAAATAATATCATCAAATAACCAAGTAGATATCACTAACAAGATATAGTAAGTTTGTCCATAACTCCTAGGTATAGACTTTAGCAAAACATAATAAAAAGATCCAAACTTGTATTATAACTCAACATGAAATCAAATGCAAAAGAGAAAGTAATAGGAGAGAGGTCACCCTTGTCACATGAGCTCCAACTCTCCATCTTTATTCCTTAATTCTTCATCCAATTCTAGTTACAAGTACAAGAAGGATAAATAACCCTAACTATACTATACTAATGAACTAAACTAATGAATTAAGGAAAACTAGTGAATACTACATTTTTGGTAGTGTTTTTAACCTTCCAAAGTTATTCCATAAGGTCAAAAATGCCCTATTTAGAGAGAAATTCAAGCCACAAATGAGTTGTTTCTAATTAGCAAATTTGGCTCTTGAAACTCTCAAAAGTTGTTTCTACAAGTCTATATGCTTGCTTGCTCATATCTAGCTGGATTTCTTGCAGAAAAATTATTCAAAAAACTTGTGTGAATAGAGAAAAAGTTGCATAACAACTTGCAGCCACAATTGAAGAATATGTAAGCTTGACCCCAGTTTTGCTTTATTGCAGGTTTGCTCATTTTTTGTCAATCTTTAACTTGGCTCTGTTTTTGTATCAATTTCAACTGATGTTTTGTTGATGATGCAGGCTGAAGTAGCTCTTGTACAAAACATGAAAGTTGTAGACTTTTGAGTTATCTTTCCAATGCCTCCAAAATCACCTAATTTGGAGCTTTGTAGATGGATAAATGACCAAATTACTCTTGATTGGTCAATCCTCTATTTCAACTTTCGACAACAAACATGGTTGATTGTATTTTGATATTTTGACTCGGAAAACTTATGAACTATATTTTGATGTCTGCATTCAAAATGTAGAGCTGTGTGTTAGCTTGAAAATGGCTCAAGAATCACCTCAATCCAATGCTTGTAGCTCAATATATACCAATAGGTATCAAAGTTGGAAAACTTTTCCTCTTTTATTCTTGATTGCATTTTCTCTTTGCACTTCATATTCTCTTTAAATCACTTTAAAATCATCAACAATTATCAACTTATCTTCTGGACTCACTCAAATTGATGATTGAATCATTAAACCTATAAAAACATGAAATTTTCACCATTTTAAACCATAGAAGTGCAATTTTTCACTTAGGCCACAAAATGCATAATTTCACAAGAACTTAGTTCATTAGCTATAAAAATAAATAAAGCATATCAAAATGAAATAATAAAACACATTTAAATTACTCAAAATACATACATATTAGAGGGGCACTAGGTGAAATCTTCAGAAATCTTGGAAGAGGTTTCAAAAATTTTCCCTTTTTTATTCACTTTATCCTTCTAATATTGTTTTAATATTTCCCTTTGAACTTGTCATTTTTCCAATGGTCTCCCTCTACTTTAAATGTGCTGTTCGTATTTATTCTCATATATCCTCAAAACTGAAAATTCAGTGCAAAAGGTGCCAATTGAGACAAAATCAATATTCTAGAGTAGAAATCTGGCATTATATATATATATGTATGTATGTTAGCCTATTTGAAAAGCTGAGAGACCAACATTGCCATTTTCTAAGTTCTAAGGAATTTGTAAGCTAGTAACAAATAGAAATACTAGGTATTGTTTGTCAAAAGAATTTGCATAAACATCAATGTCCTTAAGTTCTGGTGTTAAAGTAAAGACCAAAACATCAATGTCCTAAAGTCACTTTTTATAGATAAATTCTATAAAAATTACCTTTTACCTCCCAATTGAACATGGACCAAAAAATACAAAAAAAAAAAAAAAAACCGTCAATTGGGTTTGAAGTCACTGCTCATTAGGGAATGGCAGCAACAGACTTTAGATGATTTGCAGATAAACCACCCACTAATGATTTGGAATATTTTCTGGACTTCTAGACCCATGAATTTTCGGCTCCATTTCACTAGAATCTGTTGTTTGGCCCAACCTGAACAAGGCTCCACACAATCCTACTCAACATTCAAGTTCATGGCCCCTAAGCTCTGCGTCAATACTGCTCAGGTAATCATTTTGTCCTTCTCTTTTTGTAGTTTCTGTAGATAGGTAGATAAAATAGAAACCCATGTAAATGTTGGATAACAAGCCTCACAAATAGAAAATTTGTGCAGCTCATACTAGTTTGTGTAATTATTAGGATCACTGGGTGAGACACACTTAATGTGTGTGTATATTTTAGGAAAAAGTAAATAATGAAAAAGATATAGAATAAGAAACTAGTTAGAGCAAAAGAATTAATTATAGAGTATTGGGATATTTTTAATTGAAGTTAGCAGGAAGACTTGGATATATATATATATATGTGGTAGTAGTGGATAAGTTCCGATAAGTACGGAACTTAGAAGTAGCAGTTATGTCAATACGGACCGTATGGAGTATGAGATGGCAATATAATACTTCATCATGCAAGGAGAAAATTGGAATAACAAAAAATGACAAAAAAAATTTTAAACACAAATTATGACTATTTGGCAAAAAAACACTTGAAAATACTTGCAAAACCTCTACTATTAAATTGCACATAATTAGCAACATAATTTTAGAGTCATTACATTTGATCAAAAGTGATACAATCTCTCGTTACTAGAAGGGGGGGATGGGTTAGGGAGAAGGGAATATAAATAAGAAATCTTGGATTTAAAACCTCCTATTTACACTAAAAATAAAACACTAAAAATAAAACAAAATAAGAAAATCTCTAGTTACAATGTTTGATCAAACAAAGTTACAATGGCACAACAGCGTAATTTGTTTAGGATGGGAAGTTTTGAAGAAGTTGACGGTAGATTTTCTCTCTTCTCTGCTTTTGTAGATAGAAAAGCGTATTTTAGGAAAATGGAAGCAATATTTTGCTAAGCTCATTTGGGTTTGTTTATGTAAGCATTAAAATATGAGAGCTAAGTGTAACTCTCAATGCCTATTGCTAGCTATGTTATACCTCATAGGGTTTTTGTGAAATTAATTTCATAGAATAATACTTTTGTATAAAATTCTGTGGATCTTTGCACCTATTCAGTGCAATTGATTTGCAGAAAAATGTGAGAAAGTCACTTCAAAAAGTAGTTCTTGAGTTAGTTATGGCAAAAAAGTCATAGTCAGAAACAACGGCGATGTTGAAGTTGAGAATTGTTCATAGAAGAAAAGTAAACCAGAAAACAGAAAACAAGAGCCAAGAATGGGACTCTTCACCTACACCATAGCCGGTGGCGGTTTCATCTTGATCGGTGCCTGGGAATCGTTCGTATCTTCCTCTGAATGTATCCAAAATACGCCACTATCTCCGCCCCTTACCAGCCCTCGCGCCATTTCAGCTATTAACAACAGCAGCACTCAAACGAAAAAGGCCCCTCTTTCTTCATCATCTGTAACATGCTTATCAAACCCCGTCCTTTCTTTCCTCTTCATTCTAAACTCTCTCATCTCCATCTCCGACGCCCTCAACTCCAAAGACCACGTTGGTTTCGCCTTCCAGTTAGAGGTAATCGCAATTGCTCTCCTTTTTTTCCTCTACTCAACTCTGGGTCTCTTTGCTCATGTCAAGATTTCGTTTCAATTTGCTTCGGCAATCCTCAATATCTGCTTCTTTTCGCTTTCGGAGAAGAATTTTTGTTCTTTTACGTTAGAAGAAGGACCCCAGTGGGGTAGTAAACTGGTACTACGATCTCTTCCTCGTGCCAATAGGCATTTGTCTGTTTTGTACTATTCTAGAACTGAAAAGTCCGAAATCGAATAATGCAAGATTTTGGACGCGGGGTTGGACTGGTTTTACAGGGTATGTGGATAGGTAAGATGGGATTCAGTTTCTTGATCAACCCAAAAAAAAAAGAAAAAAAAAAACAATACTGATGTCTATATATGCACATCGTGAATCCGTATAAACATGAAACATAAAGACATTTTGTTCGTTATCTAGCCAATAGGTCCAGCTGTGCAACCCACAATGCTATATGCAAGAGGGCACAAGTTTAGAAACCTGTATCCTGATCTACTCTTGTCTACCAAGTGAGGCGGAGATGAACAGTGTACCATCAAAGAAAGCAAAATGAAATACAGCACAGACTAATCAAAGACATAATGGCACTTAGCGTCCCGCTAGTGCTACCATCCCAAATAAACCTGGTTCATCAAATCAAGACCAAATAAACCTGGTAGATATTTGGATCTTAGTTTTGTGAAGTGAATAGCTTAGATTAGCTCATTTGTTAAATTGTTTGTGACATAGAGTTTGGATAAATGCAATGAGGGAATCTTTTTTTTTTTTGTTTTTGGGTTAGCTGGTGAAGAGGATATTGATCTGCATTGTGAGTTCGGTTATAATTTTTTTTAAAGTTGCAATTATAGTGTTTCACGACATTTTGGCTCCTGTTTGTGTTCATGTTATTGACGTAAACCATGAATTGACTTGAAGAATTGCAAAATGATTGTTTGATGTTCCTGATTATCAGCCATGATGAATCTTTTATAGTGGTTAATTATGATTTATTCGTGGTTCCTGCTAATACTAGAATTTATGATTTGGTTTGTGATCTGTAGCAACAAGTCACCTTTTGAAGGACTTCCACTTCAGTGATAAGGGTGGAAGGAGAAAAGATCATCAGTTAGTAACATCTGAATGTACTTAAAAGTAGCAAATATGCAATTAGGTCTGCTCAATCAGACAACATATTAAATGTACTTGCTCATATTTTCATATGTAATTCCTCGTCTTACTTGTCCTTCTTACACTGAGCAGCTCAAAGAATGAAGAGCAAAAGAGTGCAAAATCAGTATCACTGAGTTTCTCAAGCATTCGTAAGGGTGGCAGAGGGGTGATGGAAGGTTCTAAAGGTGCTCAAAACTAGAAGTAGCTTAGAATCTGGTCATCATTTTGGCTGTAGAGACTAGAGAGATGGACACATCAATTATCAGCATTACGAAGCCCGCTGGAATCTGCTATTAGGTGATATCAAAGTTGTTGAACCCTTGATTCAAAGTTTATTTGGGATGGTAGCACTAGCGGCACGCTAAGTGCCATTATGTCTTTGATTAGTCTGTGCTGTATTTCATTTTGCTTTCTTTGATGGTACACTGTTCATCTCAGCCTCACTTGGTAGGCAAGAGTAGATCAGGATACAGGTTTCTAAACTTGTGCCTTCTTGCATATAGCATTGTGGGTTGCACGGCTGGACCTATTGGCTAGATAAGGAACAAAATGTCTTTATGTTTCATGTTTATACGGATTCACGAAGTGCATATATAGACATCAATATTTTTTTTTTTTTGGGTTGATCAAGAAACTGAATCCCATCTTACCTATCCACATACCCTGTAAAACCTGTCCAACCCCGCGTCCCAATCTTGCATAATTCGATTTCGGACTTTTCAGTTCTAGAATAGTACAAAACAGACAAATGCCTATTGGCACGAGGAAGAGATCGTAGTATCGATTTTCTACCACCTGGGGTCCTTTCTTCTAACGTAAAAGAACAAAAATTCTTCGTCCAAAGTGAAAAGAAGCAGCATATTGAGGATCGCCGAAGGAAATTGAAACGAAATCTTGACATGCGCGAAGAGACCCAGAGTTGGGTAGAGGAAAAAAAGGAGAGAAATTGCGATTACCTCTAACTGGAAGGCGAAACCGACGTGGTCTTTGGAGTTGAGGGCGTCGGAGATGGAGATGAGAGAGTTTAGAATGAAGAAGAAAGAAAGGACGGGGATTGATAAGCGTGTTACCGATGATGAAGAAAGAGGGGCCTTTTTCGTTTGAGTGCTGCTGTTGTTAATAGCTGAAATGGCGCGATGGCTGGTAAGGGGCGGAGATAGTGGCGTATTTTGGATACACTCCCAAGCACCGGTCAAGATGAAACCGCCACCGGCTATGGTGTAGGTGAATAGTCCCATTCTTGGCTCTTGATTTCTGTTTTCAGGTTTACTTTTCTTCTCTTTATCCTCAGGTGAGTAGTCTTCAATGCAATCATTACCCAGATTTTCTCAAAGCCACTTTCTATAAACTTGAAGTATGAATAGCGCCATGATTTCTTGAAGAGAAGGATTCCCAAAACTCCCAAGAGCCCGACAGCAAACCCCGGCCATACCAGCATAAAACCAAGACCAATCAGACTTGCTGTGGCCTTTATCATCATGAGTAGGCCCATTTTTTGTAGACAACTTGTGTTCCGAGCAGTTGTTTGGGAGCGGTTTGCCACAAAGTCCACTATTTCCTTCATAGATAAATGGATCGGTCAAGGTCTGAAGTTGATTTCCTGCAGGTATTGGCCCTGAAAGTTTATTGTGTGACAAATTCAGGGAGTTCAATGAGTACAAATCCGATAAGCTTTCGGGGATTGCACCGAAGAGTACATTCATTGATAGATCAAGCGCTTCAAGTTGCCGATCTTCTCGGCAATCCTTTCAGTCAAATGATTCTGTGAAAGATTCAAAAATTTCTATTGATCGAGTTCCATTATCTCATCAGGGATCTCGCCAACGCTATAATCTCCTTCTTGGCCTGATACCATGGTACTAATATGTTATTAAAGCAATGAGGAATAAATCTACTCAAGTTATTATGTGCTAAGTTCAGCACTCGAAGATGTGAGAGTTGGTAGAGTGTATCAGAAATAGCTCCATGGAAGTTATTTGACTGAAATCTTAGACACATTAAATTTGATAACCTTTCCCCAATCCAAGCTGGTATACTATCCTTTAGTCCGTTGTCACCGAGATCAAGAATTTGCAAATTTCATGGGAATAAAAACATATGTGCATAATATACATACATATTAGTACCGTGTGTGTGATGCATGTGAATAAAAACATATTTTATAGTATGTGTATAATACCTTCCTATGAACAACAATTTTCTCCAATCCAAGATAACAAACGATTTGATTCATCTATCAACTTATACTTGAATTGAAGAAGAGCTTGTTGTTCATTCTCAATATAAGAGACATTCGAATAATTATGAGCTTGTTTGCTGCTGCCAAATGTGAATTGGCTGGTTACAGGAATAGAACTGAATAAGAAGAGTAGTAGTGAAGATGAAGAAGTACAAAGAAGATGATGCTCCATTGGATTTCTTTGGTATTATTGGTTTATTTGATATAGTTATCTCAGATGAGTGGCCTCATTTATACACTTACAAAAAGCATCACTTCACCATTTTGTGTTTGTGGGAAGTAGAATGGAACCATACAAAGATGATAAAGGACGACGACTTCAAGTCCTCATGGAAAAAAATTTGTTAATGTGGTGGAGGGGAAAGACAGCGTGGAAAATCCTTGCGTGCTTGTGGGGAAAATCTTTGGTGACATACAAATGGAAATATTAATTCATTTTATTTTTGGATTTTAATTTAATTTGGATACCGACGTTACCATAAAAATCAATCCTAATTATGTTTTGTTATTCTTATGAACTAGTGATCGGAGCACACTATATGTATGCGAAAATGATTCAAGTTATATTTAATTGTAAAAATTAGTTTTCTGGAAATTAGTTTTACATTTTGAGAATTCATGTTTTATGAAATTTTGTGTGAAAACAATATACATGAGCAGTTTTTTGTTAGTTATCATTAACTGTAAGCATTAGCAATACAACTAAAATTTCCACATAAAACGAGAAAAAGTAATTTTTTGAGAATTTCAAACGCGCATTTAAAATTTTAAGAAGCACAGAAAACCTTTAAAAACAACATTCAAGATCTTGACGGGCAACATATAACGTTCCAAGTTGGGTACAAAATTGGCGGATGTGTCTAAGTCCACTCGTCAATGGAAGTCGTGACCCACAATGGAAAATTTTTATTTTCTTGTGGATAAAATCCTTAGAGAATATTTTGTACCGACTTAATGGAAATTTTGATTCTCCATCGGTTGTTTGCAATCTAAATTAATATTAAAATGTTTGACTTAAAATCTCCAAACCTACTGAAAATTTGTCACAAATCCTAAATTTTATAGGTCTATGTTAAAGAAGCACAAAGGACGGCAGTATGCATTGCATGTTGGATAGTTACAAAAAAAAAAAAAAAAAAGGTGCACATTTATCAAAAAAGTTTTGTTCATTTTTATGTACTTGTTCATTATCAAAATTTGATCTTTCAAAAGTTTATGTACTTGAATAAGAGGTTTGAGCATTCAAAAAAGCATTTATATGTAAAGTGAATTATATATAGTGCGACAAACAGCAAGTATGGAACTCCTTTTTTAGTCTTTTTTTGAGCTAATCTGTATTTCTTTCTCCAAGGAAGACATTCTTTGACATTAATGTGGCATCATAAAGTTTTTCATAAGTAAAACATTTTAGTGGCTTTTAAATTATAAAGAAGATGAAGCTCAAGAAAAAAAAAATGAATAGACCAACAACCTAGAATGCAAATATCAAACCAAGAAAAAGACAAACAAAAATTCCTAAATGCATAGCATCCAAGATCAAGACGTCCACAGATAGCATTTCAAAGGGGTTAGAATAGTAGGTTTGGTGTTCATGTCTGCAATTATATGTCTGCAATTATACTTTTACTTACCAAATTATATGATCTGTTCATGTCTGCAATTATATGGGAAAAGTCTCCAATTGGGTGAAGGTTCTCTACAATTTATCTAATTCATGGAAGCTAAATGGACACATGTTGTTTTGATGGATGCATAATTATAAATGAGTGAAGTCATCCTAATAATAAATGAGTGGCCAATATGATGCCACATATAGGTTTTACCCTGCTATCACACGTTTCAATAGGGACAACTTATAGGGAGTGAACATTTCCATTAATTGAATCTAGAATATGCCTCCAAGGATTTTTTTCCACACCGTATGCAATGTTTTCAAACCCGGACCGGACCGGCCGGTCCGACCGGTTCGACCGCGACCCGGCCATGTGTCCGGTCCGGTTCATTACTTGTGTTGACTTGGTTCAAGAACCGATCAAACCCGTAAAAAACCGTTCAAACCGTTAAACCTGAATCGAACCGTGAACCGCGGTTTTTTAATTTTGGGCAAAATTGATTGAATTTTGACCGAAATTATCTAAACCTATTCTTTAGTTCACTTTTCAATCTTCATTCGGTCTTCTACTCTTCGTCCTTTGCTTCGCCGCCGCTTCGCCCTTTTGTTTTTCAGCCAACAATCTTCCTCCATAGCCTGCCCCTGCTTCACCTTCACGGCTTCACCACCACCTTCAGTTGCTGATCAGAAGCAAGATGATGGTTTTGATGAGTTTGATCCTCGTAGCTCATTTTCAGGTAAGATCTGGTTTCACCTTCACGGCTTCACCACCACCCTCTTATTTAGTTTGATTTCACAAAAGATCTGGTTTGTCCTCAAATTAGAAAAGGTATTTTTTTTGGTTTGTCCTCAAATTAGATAAGCTGATCAGTTTGTCCTGCAATTTTTTTTTTACTCGTTAATTGGCTTTGTTGTCTGGCTTGAAGATTGTAGCAAAGGTGAATCAGTGGGTTAATCTATTATCTTATTGTGGAGACTGAATCAGTGGGTTTTTTTTTTATCTTATTGCTGGCTTGAAGGCTCGTTAGTTGGCTTTGTTGCACGTTGCAGTGATGAGCTCGTTGGCTGTTGCAGTGTTTCTCTCTTTGTTGTCTAAAAATTGGTAGTAGCATTTTCGTTCTTTTGGTCCATTAGGAGATTGCAGAGGGATTCAATTGAATGAGGCAGTAAAAGAATTTGGAATAAGAAAGAACAGAACTAAGAGCTGCCAATCTCATATGATTGATTCTTTAACTGAAACTATGAAAGGCACTCTTCAAGAAAGAACCAAGCAGATGCTAGTTGGCTATGTTTGACCTTTCGCAATCATTTGTTTCATTAAGAATATTTCCACTTGGATGCAAAAGCAGAATGATGCAATAGCATAATCCTCCACATGCCACCGCATCTCACCTAGTTTTAACATGCATGGACAGAGAAATATCTGATTTACCTATGATTGAGCAATTTACATAATTCTTAATTAGCCATTAGGCCTCCATGTACTAAGCTGCTGTCTACCTGGCTGTTTGTTTTTGTTCTTGTTTCTTTGGGTATTAACTCTACCTTGAATTTTGCTAATAGTTCTTGGTATTTACCTGTAATTTACTTATGATTCAACATGAAGGGAATTTCTGGTCTTGGATTTTAGGTAGAAGTTTGAGAAGAAAGAAAATGTTAACCATTATTAACACTAGGTGTATATTTTAGTTTTGGCAATTATTACAAGACTAGG